AATATATGAATATAACTATATCTGATACTGCAGTAACAAGAGCTAATGCAAAGGAATTTCTTATATCGCTTGTACGATCTGGAATAACCGATGAGGAAAATCCTGGTCCGTCTTAGTTCTTGGGCTGGAATTCGGGCCCTGACCTCCCAGAAGATTGTCCCACTGAATAAAGTTGGGTTGATCTTTATCCTATGGTGGGTGCCTTTCACATGACGAAAGTAGCATTGCGATGCGCATCAGGAAGTTATCTCAGTGGTCCAATCAGATGAGTGGTTCCAATTACGTGCGTTCATTACAAGGTATGCTCCTTCGAAACGTTTGTTAAATCTGAAGAGAAATCAGAACTATACAAATACTGGGGAAATGTTTCGCATATAATAAATTTAATAAAGAACTTAGTTCATACTGATCGGGAAGGTGATTGGGAGTTGCATGTGAAAACTTGTAGTCACAGGTTCCTATTTTTCACGAATTTGATTGCATAAACTACGTAAGATATGGATCGTGGTATTTGGAAAGAGTGAAAAAGATGGAAGTGGAAACCCTTATCTTTACAACAAATTCATAAAAGGCCATTTTATGGTGAAAGATAAAGAGGGTAGATTCAATTCTGTAGCTCCAGATATGAAATTGGAACAGACTATTCCAGAGTTGCCAATGACCCGATAATTATCGAAATCTACCATAATTTTGACATGATTCAATAATCGATAATGACAAGCTAATCTATCATAATTTATTGAAACTACAATTTTCAATACAGATTTTTCAAATTTTATTTAATTAATAAATAGTTATTTTTGTATCTAGTGCGCGAAATTCTTTGGTGATCGAGAATTGATTTTAGTCGAGATCACCAAAGTATTTCGCGCACGAGTTGCAAACAATATTTTTTCTACAATCAAAGACAGGTGAATTTTAATTATTTTTGGTTTCCTGTCAGGTGTCAGTGTCAGCTATTTGTTACCTGAGTGTGCGAACTAGGCATTTCGCACACTGGAGAATCATTTCGCGAACGGCGTCATGGGAACGTTAAAAAAAATCTACCTGGAAAAAAAAAGTATCACTTCGCAAATTGTCACCAGTGTGCAAACATCATCTTTTTTTGACAGTTGTAGAAAAAATTAATTAAGGCGGCGTTCCGTATCTTTACCAGAGTTACCGATCGGTAAGAAGCGGTTCGTCTATGGTTCCTGAAAATGCGGTTTAGGTGTGGAACGCTTCGGTTCAACCATATATTTCAACTTTGGTTTGGCTTGGATGCTTGATGATATTATCCTCTTAAAAATATATTTGTAGTATGAAATCGACATGAATGAATGTGATATTTACCTCTTGTTCCATTTTCACCGCGAATACACCTAACCTAACAAACAAATGTCAGAAATTGAAAACAAACCGAAACAACCAAAGCTTTTTGATCGGTAGATTCGGTGACAGTTGGAACCGAATTTTTCAGGAAACGCGTTTCATAAGCTAACCAGATTTCAGGAGTGGTTAGGTAACGGAACGGGAACCGGAAAAACCAAGATTCTTGGTTAACTTACGGAACGTCGCCTAAATAAACTAAAGGTGGTTGGTGGTTTTGACGTACTGGTGCGCGCACCAAACACTAATCCCAGCTAGAACTAGAGTTAAGGCCGAAACCCACTAGCAACACGCCACGTCATGATTCGCCACGCCACGCCATGTGACGAAAATGTATGCGTATATTCTTCCATTTATTTATATGTGCCGCGTACACACTTGCCACACGCGATACCACGTCATGGCACGCCACGTCATCCGTCAATTTACACACAAACTGTCCCACGTGAACCTGTGTCACATGGCGTGGAGTGGCGTTATAGTATGGCGTGGCGTGTTGCTAGTGGGTTTCGGCCTTTAAGCAGGCAGCACGCTCCAGCATCTTTCGAAAACTTGGCTTTTTTTTTGATAGAATAAAGTTTTTGGTTAATTTTATTTTTGTTTTTTTTTTTCAAAAAAATAAAAATAGAGATAAAAAGTCAAAAAAGTTGACAAAAACTTTTTCTGATAAATTGTCCTGAAATCTGATAATTTTGTTCTCAAATTCTGATAATTTTAAATTGGACATCTGGCAACACTGGACTATTCAAATATCAAAGGAAATAGTTGGCCAGACACATAAGTGTGACTATGTTACCTACTCGGTGGGAGCTGGTATACCAGGAAATCCTTCCGATATGCAACGCCTTTAGAGACATCACAAATTCGAAGCTAATGGACCATCGTGAAACTGTGCTTCATGACGAGCTTCTAGGAGAGAGGAGAACATTTTAATGAGAACGTTGGCCGCCTTGTTCGTTTTATGCAACAACACGAAAACCCCTTCGACATGACGCATCCTATACGATTACACAACTTTGTGACGAAACAGTTTGTAAATGACGATATAAAAAAAACTTATTCTAGATGTCCAATACGCATTTGAACTATATAAAGAGTTGAAGCAGGAGAGATTTGTGACTAAAACAAAAACTCCTTCTACACCGCTTTGATGGTCATAGTAAGTCCCACAGTGAACCAGCAATTACACAAAGGAGAACAAAAAAATTCCTTTCTCAGGCACATAGGGATTTAGATGTAGAATCCAAGATATTCTGTCGCATGATCTTCTTCCAACCAATGCTTTATTTGATGGAGATTTCCCAGCAAAGCCAGTCAAGCACAGGCTAAAGCAAGAGATTGAAAAAAACCTCTCACCTGAAGATTTAGGATTTGACCAAATTCTCCCCTTCAAACTGCCGTTGTTGTGGATTATATGTCGCAATTACGAATGCTTAAAATTTCTTCAATGCCAAACTTTGGAGCAGCGCTCCATACAGTACTGCAAACATCGCAAGCAGTCTGTCCATTTCAGGAGCTAAGTACCTAGGTACATATCGTTTTAGATAGTTATCGCGAATTATCTTTCAAGCAATCTGAGAGAATTGCACATGTAGACGAATGTCTACATGTGAAATAATTGACCTCGCATGCATAACCAATTCTACTCCCGTACCTGTTCAACCAGACAAAGTTCTGGTGTTTGACAAATAAGACTTGACCACAGAATTGACCCATACGTTCGAAATTTTAGCTCAATAAAATACTGCCGAATTTTCGATGAACACCGAATTTCTAGTGGTTACAGCAGAAAAATAGTTAGGTTAGAGTTAATAAGAATAAATTAATTTAAAAGTCAGATAATTAAATAAAATGATTGAATAAAAACATTAGACATGAATACAAAAAACAATCTAAGACAATGTGTGTAGGTAATACTGCTCCACACTTGCAATCAGCAAGCTCTTCACCATGCGCTCAAAAACCATACAATCTTTTATTTTTCTTATTGCAAGATGTTTGAATATTTTTTTACTGTTGTATATAAGTGAACTTTTAGTCAATGCGGATGTTGGAATCGGGAGATTAATGGTCAAAGAATTTCTGGTATTGACCAATGAAGGGATGTGAATATTGGGAGTACTTTTTGTGCACCAGGCATACAGACTTTAACACAAAGATCGAAAGGAAGGGTCATGATGCTTCGTTCAAGAAATAATAAGGTCCTGCATAGTTCTCTAATCTTTGCACCGCAGAGATATTATCTACTTGCACGTTTTTGGAGTAGGTACAATTAAACACAGAATTGAATAATGTGCCTAAACAACTTCCCCAGAGACAAATCCTGTACCTTAGGTCAAACTCAGTCAGAGCAAAATATGCCTTTCTACCTATTGACATATCTGATTCGTTCTCAATAGCCCTTATGCCATAGCACCCTGATGATAATTCACTAAAAAAATTCTCCACATGTATGTCAAACTTAAGTTTATTGTCAATAAACAAACCCAAAAACTTATTGTCGCATAATGAGTAATCTTATCATTAGCCAAGAAATAGTTATTCATTTTACTAGGCAGAAAAGTAAAAGATTTAATGCCGCGGCTGGTGTTTCATAGCCGAGGCTAGGAAACCAGCCGAGGCATTAAATCTACTTTTCTGCTATGTAAAACATATAATTTTTTCTCCGAATGTTCAAATTCACACATGCACATCTTTTCTATATTTATTTCATTCATTATTAGTCAACCATCCAAGGACCTTTTTTTTCAATTATACATGTAAACCCCATACTTGTGAGTGGCTTGCTTACATCAAGTCCTACAACTTTTCCTCTACGACTTTTCTCGGAAATGGCACGTATGCGCGCAGGCGACTCGCAAACATTTTAGGGGTATCGGACTCCCCCAATTTGCCATTATTTTTGTCGGCCAAGTTGATTTCCGTGATTTAGAAATAAAAATCAAACATTATTCGTGAAATTAGATTTTCATGTATCAAGAAACATAACCACGTCAGATCGACATTTTGGGGGTATCGGACTCCCCCAATTTGCCATTATTTTTGTCGGCCAAGTTGATTTCCGTGATTTAGACATAAAAATCAAACAGTATTCGTAAAATTAGATTTACCTTCATGTATCAGGAAACATAGCTACGTCAGATCGACATGTTTGCGAGTCGCCTGCGCGCATACGTGCCATTTCCGAGAAAAGTCGTAGAGGAAAAGTTGTAGGACTTGATGTAAGCAAGCCACTCACAAAGTATGGGGTTTACATGTATAACTGAAAAAAAAGGTCCTTGGATGGTTGACTATATTATTATCCAAATAATTAAATTATTCTGACAATTGTCATTGTCACCATCAATTTCAAATACCAAATTGAGTGAAATTATTACCTGGAACGTTGTGACACTGTCACTTTTAATGCCTAGGCAGTAAAAGTCCACTTTTACTGCCTAGGCAGTAAAAATACAACTTTTGATCCTGTCAAGTGTCATTAAAAGGCCGCTTTTACTGTCATTCGGAGAAAAACATTATCTAAATCACACTGAACAATCATATTGACATTAACATAATCTAAGGTTTTTGCTAACTAACAAGGACTTCACATACGATTGATCTAGCCGCAATAAGTTTCGTTTTTCACTTACCTAGCGTATGCTGAGTCTCCCAAGTATAGCTAAACCACAACTGCACTCTGCGTTGCATTTCTTGCGGCAAATTCATCCTCCTCATATATTCCAAAGTTTCATCGACCAATTTTCGATATTCAGTTTTAGATCTTGTGGCTGTAGAAATGATGTCCCTGATTTGACCAATCAGAAGAGCGAATACAAATACACCTAGACAATTCCAGTTTAGTTAATTGCTTGTAAGAAAAAAATGGACCCCCCCACTCTGAGGCTCACACTTCATGAAATCTTGATTGGTGCAAACCGCATTTTGATATATTCAACCGTTTAGCCGCTAGAGGGCGATTCTCGATTTTGAGCATTAAAATCAGCAAAAGCGGAGCTATTAATGTATAGGGTGTCATTGAAAAAAATTGGAATTTGGTGAATATCTCGAAATCGAAGCTCAACAGAAAAAAAACCGAGAACGTCAATGAATTCTGCTTGAAAAAGTGCTTCTAGAAAGTCTTTACGGAAATGAATTATTTTCATAAACAAAAAGTTATGGAGACTTTACAGTATTGCTCATAATCGAGAATCGCCCTTTAGCGGCTAAACGGTTGAAGATATCAAAATGCGGTTTGTACCAATCAAGATTTCATGAAATTTGAGCCTCAGAGTGAGGCGTCCATTTTTTTCTATCTCTAAAAATAAAGGGTGTTTCCATAAGAAAGTGTCCAATTTGGACCAGCCTCTACAACATCAATAATTACTTACCCATAAGCCATGAAAAAGTCATGAAAATATATTCCAATTCTTGCGACGGTTTTGGATTTTTACCTATAGATGTAGCTGTTTTTGTGGCAAAGTAAAAACACTTTATGTAAGCATTGCCTTCACCGTTATAAACAAAACTATTGCTTCCAATGCCTACAAAATATATCGGAAAATTTTTAGCCTTTAAATCCATCAAACTAATGCTTTACCTTCATATATGGAAAATGCATAATAGGCACAAGCATTCAAATGTATTAAATACATCATGTACATAAAGGTTTTGGTAATTCTAATAGTATAAGGATTAGACAATCTTCTGTCAACCAAACCAAAAAATTCCCAGAAAGTGTGCGTTTTGAAAAATCTGGGAAAACGTAGAATCACTAAATCAGGTCCTGTTAGCAGGAAAAAGAAGTCTAGGGGCAATAAAGAAACGATATCTAACTGAAATACAAAATAACAAAATCATCAAATTGCGCAATTTTCCTTTTCAATTACCTTAAAATGTTTATTCTTAATATAATTGTGCCTCAACAGGCTTTTCTCGATCACCCAAAACCCCTCGTGTAAATATTTGACTCTCGGTTGAATCAATATCACGTCAACGGCATAGATAATGTCGGATAAATAATCGAGAGTCATCCAGTAAGCTCTGTTATTGGAAGTTTGATAGGGAAATGTCGATCTTAGAGGAATTACCTAAAATAGAAAAATTTTAGCCATGGAATTAACAACAACGACACAAATCGTTTACCCAAACATTATAAAGTACAGCTAAAGTAACCACCCACATCCATAAAATATACGTCCGTCCGTTGGGATCAATTATGTCAATATGATCGAGAAATTTTCCCAAACACCCTGCAGAAGTGATTTTAATTTCTGGTTCGTCTTCGTTGATGTATCTATCTGAGAACGATATGCTTAGCCTGGGTTTCGAATTTACTGGACTTGGAGTGCCTTCTATTTCTGCCGAAGAACTGATTATAAAAGAAGAAGTAAATAGGTACATTTTAAATCATTTCGATAATTGGGTAGGTAAAGAGTCATAAAAAAAACATGTAAGGCATATCGCAGGCAGTGTGAGTTATAGTTTGAAGTGTGATAACCTTGCAGGGTTATCTTGATACTTTTAAATCAAACACAAGGTTTTTACAAAACCCAACTTATGTTTATTAGTTCGAAGACATTAATACAATAGTCAAAAACTATATGCCCTCTTTTGACGGCATGTTTATTCTAATTAACCTAGTTATCTTTAAAACTCATCATAAGCAATATTGCCTATTATTAATTATACATATTTATATTTGAATGTTAAACATACAATTGCTACATAATGTATAGGGTGTGAAACCCTATTGTAACTACAGGATGTTACACACTACACCTCCTATGGAACTAAAAAAAAAAATATCAAAAAAAAAAACATTGTTCATAGTATATCTTAACTCTTAAAAATATTATTCATAGGATAACTTAACCCTAAAAAGATTATTCATAGTATAACTTAACTCTATTTTTATGTACCTCTACAAATTTCTTACCTATTCTAATTACAATATTTGGAGAGTTAATTTGCGTAACAATATAAGGACCCTTATAAATGGGCTCACTTTTGTTTCCTGCTTCATTTTTAAGTAAAATCTTATCCCCAATGTTGTATTTAACAATTTTACAATTTTTGTCATAATTCAATTTACGGTTGCTTTTTGATGTCAATAAGTTACTCCTCGCGTCCCTACATGCTTCCTGTAAACGGTATTTGAGCTCTATAGGGTAACTATCGAAATTATAAACAGGGTCTACTTTTTGAGTTATATTAGACGGAATGTTGCACAATCTGCCGAAAACTAACTCATGGGGGGTATATTTGGTTTCCGTATGCACTGTATTATTAAAACAGAAACACCAAAATGGTAACCATGAAGACCAATCAGTTTTAAAATTTTGACATTGAATGCGTAAATATGCATTCAGAGACTTGTGCGTATTTTCAAGGGACCCCAAAGTTTGATGCCTGTAAGCTGTGGAATTTAATTTCTTTATTTTTAAAAGTTTGCAAGCTTTATCCAAAGTTTCATTCATAAATTCCGACCCACGATCAGAAACGATCTCGGACGGGATTCCATACCGCAAAATAAAATTATTAACAAAACTTTTTGCCACAGTTTCAGCTTCCTTATTTTGTAACGGGTAAGCTTCCACGAATTTGCTCAACTCACACTGTAGAGTTAGGACATATCGATTATTTTGAGCATCTACTTCGAGTGGTCCGACGATATCTAGAAAAACTTTTTCAAATACACAACTTGCTGTTATTGTTATTGTCATTGGTTCAACATTAGGCCTAGAGTGTTTGTACCTTTGACAATCGTCACATTTCCGTATAAAGTTTTCTACATCTTTTTTCATGCCAACCCAAAAGTAATACTTTTTTATGTTGTAATATAACCGATTGACCCCTGCGTGGCTTCCGGTTGGGAGAATATGAAAATCGTTAATTATTATTTCCCTAGTCTCACTATCGTCTATTTTCTTTACATCTTTGATTATAGAAATTTTTATACCTGCATTTTTTATTTCATTTGGGACTTTGCTTACTTCGTTAATTATCTGCATGCATGCTTTATTTTTTAAAATATAAATTTCCGGAATTTTGTACTTTATACAGATATTTTTCAGGTCCCTCAGCGATGCAGTTAATGCGAACGCCGATCGGGTGTCCTGCTTCATGTAAATTTTATTTTCTGCTCTGACACAAGCGAAGTTCCCAATTTTATAATCATAATTATTCCCATTAATTATTTCGCAGTATTTTTTGTCTGCTATGACACTTAATTCAACTGAGTTTTCAGCAGGCTTAAGAATTTCCACCACTCCAGGGTGATCAAGCCTTTTATGAGGAATATCCTTGCCCGCCTGTTTGTCATCAGAATTATTTTTGTTGAGATTTTTAGTTTGTGCTCTCGTCTGGACGTATATTGTTTCATCCACGTTGTCTCTCATTGCCTTAAGCTGATCGGATGTTATTTCTATGCGAGATAATGCGTCTGCTGTTACATTATCTCTACCCTTCACATACTGAATTGTAAAATCATACTCTTCAAGAGTCAAACGAAACTTTGTTAATCTGCTAGAAGGATTAGACATGCCAAAAAGATATACAAGTGGTCGATGGTCAGTAAGAATTAAAAATTTTCGTCCAAACAGATACGGCCTGAAGTGCTTTACAGCAAAAACAATTGCTGTTAGCTCCTTCTCTATTGTTGAGTATCTTTTTTCAGCTACGTTTAGAGACCTACTTGCATATGCCACTGGCTTATCATTTCCATTAGATAAAACAGCGCCTACAGCATAACCTGATGCGTCTGTCCTTAATATGAAATCATTATCTGGAGAAAAATCCGGATATTGTAAGATTGGTGGGTGAATCAATGCATCTTTTAATTGGATAAAGGAATTTTGACATTCAGTAGTCCAATTAAAATTGACGTTTTTTCGGGACAGGTTATTTAGTGGTGCCGCAATATTGGCAAAGTTTGGAATGTATTTTCTATAGTAATTTGCAAATGCGACAAATCTTTTAGTTTCGTTTGCATCTTTAGGAATTGGATAATTTTGAATTACTTTTGTTTTTTCAGGATCAGGCGAGACACCTTCAGATGCAATAATATGTCCCAGATATAGAATTTCTTTTCTTAAGAAATTGCATTTACTAGGGTTTAATTTTAAGTTTACGTCTTTAAGTCTTTGTAGAACTTTTGTGAGATTTTTGTTATGATTAATGAGATTATTTCCAAACACTATAAGATCGTCTAAATAAATAAAACAACTGTCATAGTTCAATCCAGTCATAGCAATCGTCATCGCTCTGGAGAAAGAACTAGGACTAATTTTCAATCCCATTGGCAGCCTAGTCATTTGGTACTGCCCTCGATCTGTCGTGAATGCTGTACAATGTCGGCTCTTTGCTTCTAGCCCTATTTGGTAGTACGATTGAGACAAATCAAGGTGAGAAAAATAAACCGCCCCAGAGAGAGAGTCCAAAATATCAGTTATACAGGGTAGAGGGAATTTATCGTCCTCGATCCTCTTATTTAGCTGCCTGTAGTCGATAATTACACGCCACTTTTTATTGCCATTACTATCAGCCTTTTTCGGAACGATTAGTAATGGTGCTGACCATTCTGATCTGGCTTCCTCGATAATACCGTCTTGAAGCATTTTTTGAACCTGTTTATGAACTTCTGCCTTTTGTGCATGTGGTAAACGGTAAGGCTTTATATATGCCGGTGTGGCTGATTTTTGGAGTGTTATAGCTTGTTCATAAATATTTGTTACAGTAAGCGGATCTTCCTCTAAGTGAAAAACATCTGCGTATTTTGCACAAACTCTCTGTAATGAATAATTTTCTTCTTGGTTCAAATGATTTGTATTTATTAATTTGAAAATTTTATCTAACCTATCAACCGATATCGCATTATCACTGAATTCGCAGGTTTCAAAATTATTTAAGTTACTGGTTTTTGGTTTGAAATTTTTTAGCTTCACATCTTACTACGAGTATTAAGTATTCTAACAGGTATCATATTACTAATTGGTTTGGTCATAATTGCAGCGACAAAAACGCCTTCACAAAGTTCATCAGGTAAAACTAAACATTCCTCGTTCTCGTCTACCCAGCAATATTTGATTACCTCACAGCGAGCTGGTATCGTTGTGTAAAAATCGTACTTGCATTCTATAGGTAGAGACATCTGAGTATCGTTCACAAAAAAAGAAAATATAAATTTTTCATAATCGATAATTGCCTGGAATTTATAAAAAAAATCTGCCCCAATGACCCCGTGAATGCCGTTCTCAAACGCATCCATCAGCAAAAACTTGTGCACTATATCTGCATTATTAAATTTCAATGTAATATTTGCTGAACCTTGTGAAATTGTTGACCCTGAAATCCCATTTATTTTGACCCGGTTTGAACTACAGAAGCACGAAAATCTGTTGAGGGGTGAACCATTTGTTTCCATACTCACAATTTTTTGTGCGTCATCTTACTTGTAAGATATTCTCAATGAGGTATAATGTTACAATTGGAATTTTTATGTCAAGGGGTAGAAAATACAATAGATGTCCAATAGAGATTACAATAAAACAGTGAAGTGTGAAGTTCCGATTATAACAGGTATCAGTCGTCATTTTAAGCCTCTAACTATTAACTGTTAAAGAATAGATTGATGTGGGAAAATCCAGAAAATAAACTGAGAATCTATATAAAGACGATATATGAACTAAAAACTAACCAAAGACATTATTACTGAACACGAAATAATTTAAAGAATTTAGAAGATTTTGCGGTATGATTTGGCCTGATTATAAACATTCATAAGCTGATGCAGAATTCGCTTCATTAGGGTATTTTTTAATTTGAATGTTTACTGTCTGAGTAGGAGTAGAATATCCAATAAGCCGGATTGAGACTCTTTGGGAAAGTTGGAATAGTTGGATATCCATCATACAAATTCGTGATTCTGAAAAGAGTTCTTTTCTCTACACTTTTTACTCGGAATCCAATTCCAGTAAAAAAATTCAACGATAGTGAACAGAAATATTGTTCATAAAAATTTTAAAAAAATAAATAAATAATTATCTGTACATATTACATTATGTATCGGTTTTTAGGATATGATTATTGATTATAGCTTCTCACCTGCTCTTGATTCCTATATATTTGAAATTTTTCCTAAATTATATATTAGGTACTCACCTTAAAGAAGATGGAGTTTCAGGTGCCTCAAGACGCTGTCTTGCAGCATGTGCCCTTGTTGAAAACGCATCCACTAAATGCCTGATTCTATCTTGTATAAATTGATGATTCTCAGAACTAAAAGCAATTGAAATAAAATTTTAAAAATTTAATTAAAATCTGGTCTCACTTTTCTGTGGATGCAGAATCCATTCTCTTCCCCATCACATTTTGGTATCGTGTTTTTGCGCCATTTGATTTTACATTGATAAAATTGCTGCTGTTTTCCAAGGGTTCATTGCACCAGGACGTAGGAGCAGTTGATTTGTCAGCACCTACTTGGTCAAGAATTAACTTTTCAGGGTACACCATTCTCTACAATTTTAAACAAGTAAAAACACCACACCGTCATCTAGTGATCACTAAAATAAATTAAAATTAGCATCTGCCTTCGTGAAACAGACGGAACGTTACATCGCAATTAAATCTACCAATTACGCTAAGTAAACCAACAATAAAGCAGTAAAACGACCCCCCCATTACGGTTTACCTTTTTAAATCGGTAAATGTTTTCCATTTCTGGCTAATGGCTGTCGTTGCGTGACATTCAGATCGTTTGTGGGACCTCGTGCAGGAGTAAACTGACTCGAAATGAATGACTGGCAGGACTGAGCAGGAGCAGGATCCGTGGATCGAAGATTCGCGGGACAGGGACGCGGACAGCAGGATTTTCGACGCTTATCTGCGTAGGAAAAGGTAAATAATTTATGTTTCTTAAGTGATTGAATCCTTGCCTTGGGTGCCCCGATGTTTAGCAAGAAATTTAATAATTTTTTTGATCCCAAAAATATTTCTATAATTTAACTACCTAATATAATAATACTAGTTCACGCATATCATCCCATGCAAAAGAAGCCACAATCATAATTCAATCAAAAAGCTGACTTTCCATTTCGATACTCATGTAGGATCCAGCTCTTCCAGTTCACATTCATGACTACTATGAAGACTTTTTTTCAAATCAATTTGAAAAAATTGATTTACGTCGCTGATCGATTTTTACAGTCAACAAACAACAGGTGTTTTAAATTTAGCTTTCGTAAAAATATATAGGTAATATCGTGCTTGCGTGCAGCAGAGCTGAAGCAATATGGGCCAGGGTTTGCTAAGGTTTCCAAACAAAAACTCTCATCGAATATTCAATGCTGCCAAAAAAATACAAGATTTCGATAGCTTTTCAATAAATAAATATTTCAAATCCAGTGCAAAAATATTGAAGGAAGAGTCATTGTATAAGCCAGCCTATGTTCCCAAAATATCCTAACTATTTTTGCTTGCATTTTCATAGATCTAACTTTGTCCATTGTATCTGATTCATTCTTTCCGCAACACCATTAATTTGAGAAGTATATGGAGAAGTATAACTTATACTGTCCAACTTTTATCATCTGATACTCCAAAGGAATGTAAGTTGGTGGCTCCCCACGCCAGTGGTCACCGGACCACACACCTGTTTTTGCTGGATTTTTCCTCCCCTCGCTCCTCAGACGGAAAGTGTAAAAAATTCAAAGAGCTAAACATTACCTGAATGCCTTTCTTGGAACAAAAATAACATCAAGCCCTTCTTTTTGAATATTAATTTATCCAGAAACCCACAAAACATTGAAATCGAGTATGAATACGGTTATAATATGAAACAAAAATGTGTGCGCAAAGAGTTTCCGTACGCAAAGTTCAACTTTGCGCACGCAAATGAGTGTGCAAAGTAATAACTGCGCACGCGAGTAGAAAAATACATTTACAGTTATGTACACTAAATCTAAATCAATTTTTAACTATTTTAATTATTTGACACAAAAAAATTATTAACTCATTTTTGACCTTTTTTCCTGCATAATCTGGCAGCCTATGATATCCACCCTGTATATTGAGCCAATGTTGCCCCTGATAATGAGATTTTCTAATCTCGAAACATATACCTAGGGCTTTTTGAAGCTATTAAAGTATTTGTGGCGGAGACTTTTACTTTTTTTTTGGAAATAAATATATACCGGGTGCCCACGAGATCACTTTCGGGCTACCATTTTTTTATTTATCTATTGATGTCAACGAAACTTGGTAGGGTTGATATTCTAACCAAACGCCATTTTTATGTATTTATGACAAGTTTTCCTGACTTCCGGTTTCACCGGAAATGACCGGAACTTTTGATGTTTAAATGGCACACCCTGTATATTTTTTGTTTTTCGGATTCTAAAAATCGTTTTACGTCCTAATGCTTTTGCATCGATTTTTTTCTAAATTTTGTTTTTCAATTAAAATTAATTTTTTCAACTAGAGTGCCATGATCATCTTAAAATGACTCTACATACTTTACTTAATTTCAGAAAAATACAAACTCAATTTTATCTTTGTAAAATTTTTTGATAGAGGGCTGTAAACTTCATTATTTTAGTATTTTTGCCCTAGCTCAGAAACTAGAATAGAAACATATCACTTTCACAACATCACTAAATGCACTATTTTAAGGCGAATCCAACGATATAATACACTATGACATTTTTCTTAATTTTCGTTTAAACATTTTTGATTTATTAAGTAGGAATTTTTTTTCTTTTCTACTTGAAATGTAATTTGAAAAAGAAATTTGGACAAAACTCGATTTAAAAGTGGTACACTAGGACGCAAAACGATCTGTAGAATCGAAAAAACAAAAAATATACAAGGTGCGCCATTTGAAAATCAAAAGTTTCGGTAATTTCCAGTAAAACCGGAAGTCAGGAAAACTTGTCGTGGATGCACAAAAATGGCATTTCGTTAGAATATCAAGCCTACCAAGTTTCGTTGATATCAATGAACAAATAAAAAAATGGCAGCCGGAAAGTAATCTCGTGGGCACCCGGAGTGGAACAAAAAAAATACAATTTTCTAAAGCAATCCACAACTTCAGTACCTAGAGACGACACAGACAAAGTATTTTGAATTATGTAGACTAGTCCATTTCACACAACGTCATAAAGACGGTAATATTATTAAATAAAATTATAAACTGAGTACCTATAGTATAGGTCCTATACCAATATCAACAGATAGATAATAGGGTAAAAGCAATAATAAAACAGATGGCAAGGTTGTTAATGTTAACTATATATGTGTATGTGCTGGCTGTCGTTCTTAATTAAAAAGAAATATGTATAAAAATAAAAAGTTTGATGCCTATTTAAAGCCATATAATGTTGCTGATAAAACTATCAGCTTAGTTATCGCAAAATTATCTCGAAAATCCTAATATTATGATATCACGAGTGATCGTTTCAATCCAATTAAAAAAAAATAGTTATTTATGGTACTAGTGTGTTATGTTGAAAATAAGTCACGCGAGAAAGATTTATACCACGAGGCCGTCAGGCCGAGTGGGATAAATTCTCAAGTGACTTAGGAAACATAACACACGAGTGGCATACAATGTTTTATCCAACAAGTGGAAGAAATCGTTTTTTTATGAGATAAAACAAAAAAAAAATACAAGGTTCTAATGCGTCGGTGTCTTCCAGGACTATCAGCAGCTGTACCAATACCTATAGGAGCGTCTGGTTCCAATGAACCAACGAATTTTACAATGACTTCAAATTCGAATAAACCGTTAGCGTTTGCCTTTTATTTCAATATCAATGTGAATTCTGCTTTTAATACATAGTGATAAATAAATAGAATACTACTTTAAATATGAACGTGAGTTATAATCCATAACTCACTAGTGAGTTATGGATTATAACACACTATACTATATCCATGGAACCAAAAAAGCGGGCCAAAACACTTTCCGTGCGTGATCGAAGCATGATCGGCACGTGGCTTTGCATCTATTGGGCTAAAATAAACAAACCCCTCACGCTGGCCAATCGGATTTACCTGCAATCTGTAGGGGACTTCCAAGGTAGGGGAACTTATTGCTTTTGGCCTAATCGTTACAGGGTCGGTGTTACATTTTACGGGATATTTAGTAGTGATTTTTTTTATTAGTTTTAAAGTTTTAAATTATTAAAATGTCGGATGAAGAAGCTGCTAATATGTGTTTCAACACTCCACCTCAAAAGAGACCAAAAAAAGTGCCTTTCAATAGTAATGAAAAAAATTTAATTATGAACATTTACAAAAATGAAGTCGAAGCAAATCCCGAATTGTTAGTTGATGAAATCGTGCGAAAAGTAGGAAACATTGCTGGAGTGTCTCCAAGTGGTGTTTATGCCGTTATGAGAGAATCTAAACAAAAGCAATTATTTTCGGATTCAAAGCCATACCCCTTACGAAAGAAATTTATTGACAAGGTAGACGATTTTGATAAAAACGCTATCAGAAGGAAAGTACATCAATTTTTTTTCCGGAACCAAATGCCAACAATAGATTCAATTCTCAAAGATGTAAATGATGATCCTGATCTACCAGATTTCAAAAGGTCGACATTCCACAAGTTGTTGAAAGAATTAAGTTTTAAATTTAAAAAAAGAGGGAGAATTAGTTTGTTGCTCGAGAAACCAGAAATTGTATTGTGGAGACGAGATTTTTTAACGAAAATACGGGCCTATAGAAGAGAAAATAGGAAAATTTACTATCTGGATGAAACGTGGGTGAACGCAGGCCACACTAACTCTAAAATTTGGGTTGATGAATCCGTATAGGTTCTTCAAGGCAAGCCTTCTTAGATGGCCTCTCAACTGGGTTAAAGAACCCATCAGGTAAGACCTTATTAAACTCTTAACCTTAACGTGTGTGTCTGTGAACAAGATAATTTGCATTTGAATTAGGTATTGATTTAAAATTTGGTATAGTCTATTTCATTGCTGTTGATAGCAAAAATCGAGGATTAGGGCCATAAAGTAATTGTATTCTACTTGGTTTACAATAACTTTATGGCCTAAACCTCGATTTGTAGGTACCAATACCTATTAGTAAGCGATGGTCAAAAAGGGTCTAAAATTACTTGTTAGCTATGAAAAATAGACCCACAGTATGTATCTACCTGTGTATTTTCCAAGAAAGTTTATTATTAATTATTTTCTGTATTCATTAAAATCGTAGAGAATTGGAAGGGTTTCATCTTACCGTTCGATCAATTAGTTAAAATTCAGGTAACAACGAAAATGTGTTGGTATTGTATGAAATTTTAAGTATGTCTTTGGTAACTGGTTTTCGATTATTTGTGTTTGGTTGGACACGATTAAATCAAAATTTTTTTTTGTCTGCCTCGCAGCACATTTTATTCAGGAAATAGTCCAAAAAATATGTTTTATGCATGTAAATATTCTGTTTCAACTAAAACAAAATAAATCTTGTTTCAGGAAAAGGAAAAAGGTTGATAGTGTGTCACATAGGAAGCGAAACCGGGTTTGTACCCGACGCCTTGTGGGCCTTTGAGTCGAAGAAAACGGGCGACTATCATGAGGAAATGGACAGCAAATCGTTTGAAAATTGGTTTACCAACATAATTCCAAACCTAGAAGAAAATTGTGTAATTGTTTTAGACAACGCCCCATACCATTCAAGAGAAGCTGAACAAATTCCAACTACAGCCACAAAAAAAAGCCCTAATTCAAGACTGGTTGCGTTCGAAAAGTATACCATTCGAGGATAGCATGATAAAAGTACAACTTT